CTTATTCACAGTATACAAATTTCAATTTTTTTACCTAAAAAACATCGAAAATTTTGGCCAAATGTATCAGAAAAACATAATACCCAAGGAGGTATAGAAAAAAATAAAATTCAAACAATGGATTCCCGCTTAAAATAAAATGTGTGCCAGGTAAAATATACAAGGTCGTCCTACTTAGCGTAAACAGTAAACAAGGTCGACCTTGGTTGAAAAATCGTGACCATGAAAATTTTCACAAAATTGAAATGTAAAACTAATGGCCTTGGATTCAAGGTCGACCTACTTTAGAATAAATCGTAAACGTTGGATTTTCGCGCTCATGGTCATTTTTAACTTAATTTTTAATCGAAAATTTTTTCCGATGTATCCGTAAAACATAAGATCCAAGGAGGTTTAATAAAAAATAAAATGGAACAGTGGATTTTCGCTTAAAATCAGGCGGACGGAGATTTTATATTCGTCCGATACCTTAAATTAATTAAATTTGAGAATTATTAATGCTTTAAATTGTAAAATACGTTAATTAGGTAATAGGAAAAGATAAAAAAATGGAAGTGTAAAATAAAATACAAACAATGCAGCAGTTTTTTTAATATTTTTATTGTTAAAAATATGATAAAATGTAACAGGCAAACATAAGAAAATGGGAAGGGAGGTGTGTAAAATAACATAAAATTAAGGGATTCACACATAAAATAAGGTGTACAGAGATTTTTTATTTAATGTGACAGGAGGTATATTGTTCAACTACTTATAAACAAATCAAGAAATGCAGAACCATAATTAATTAAATGGAGCCTGTTCATGTGCCCTTTTTTGCAATTCTTTTTCACTGAAATCAAGGCTAACATAAAGGCTACCCAATTCCTCCTGATATTCATACAAGTATAAGTGTAAGCATTACACTGTCAATATAATAATAATTATGACGTAAAACACATGTCAACTTTTTAAATTAATTTTAACCGTTGCCTTATTATCATTATTTTTATTATTATTAATTATTCTTATTGATTATTTATTATTATTAATCTAATCGCGTTAATAATATTTAGCATTTATTATAATAATTATTTATTAGCGTAAAAACAAATCAGGAAAGAAAAAAATTAACTTTTTTTTTTTGTTTTCCCCTACCGAAATTTAATCATTATTATTAATAATAATTAATAATAATAATAATAATAATAATAATCGATAATATCTATAATATCTATAACCGATAAATTATTTTATTAATCTAATTGAAAGCATTATTATTATTTATTAAAAAAAAAAATAAATAAATAATGATAATAATTACGCAACGTCTTTTATATAAATCCAATTTTTTTTTTTTTTTTTATCTTATTGTTATCTTAATAATAATAGTAATAATAGTGATGATGATGATGATGATGATGACAGTTATCACTTTAAAAAAAAATGATGGCGAACGTTTTATTTAAAAATTTTAACTTTTATCAACCTATTTTCGGTAAGTAAATAAATAAATAAATAAATAAATTATGTAACGTTCGCATTAATATCTTCCCTCCCTCTCTCTCTCTCTTCTTAAGTAAATTATTAATTACGTCACGAAAAACTTTTACGTCACACACATGAACACACGAATTTTTTTTTATTTTGTTCTCTTCGTTCGACATTACATTATTTCCAGTTTTTTCTTTTTTTTTTTTTTGAACGAAAAACACACACGCACACCCACTCACACACGCGCGCTGGAAAATCTAATTTATTATCATTATTATTATCATTATCATCATCGATTAAATTTAACGGAAAATTCGTTTATATCATGTTTTAATTTTTTTTTTTTTTATTATTCGTTTTATCATTATCATTATTGTTATTATTATTAATAAATATTTAATTCGATTGTTAAACGTATAGGCAATTCAATACAACAACACTAAAAATTTAAAACAACAACAGCGATGATAATAATAATAATAATAATAATAATAATGTTTTTTTTTTAAATTTTTTATTACATTCGATTTAAATTAAATATATATACATACGTAATAATTTTTAAGTCACGTGATTTATATACTGGATAAGTATATACATGTAACGTGAGAGAGAGAGAGAGAGAAAATATAGCAGACGAAAAATTAAACGATTTAAAAGCTTTTCTTTTTTTTTAACGTTTTTTTTGCTTTTTTTTTTATTCGTAAAATATAATAATAATAATAATATCGATTTATTGATTTTTTTTTGTTTACGCGTATAAAAAAATATACAATCAATATATGTATATATATTTATATATAATATATAAATAATAATAATAATAATAATCGTTGATTTATCATCGTCATAATTATTACGTTATTACGTAATAAAATAACAACAACAACAACAAAAATAAATTTTTTATTCGGGCGCGGTTTTTTTTTTTTATTAATAAATTAAAAGCGAGGGGGAGAAGGGGGGTGAGATGATGTCGTGAGGGGATGGGGACGGGGATGGGGTGAAGGTTTAGAGGGTGGAGATGGATGAGGGAGGAAGTTCGAAGTCCGGGGCGGATTTTTTTTTTTGTTCGTTGAATGTCGTCTAGAGAAGAGAACAACGTTATAGACGTGTCAGGGATGAAAATTTATGATGATAATTGATAAAGGAATATTTAGTTGATAAGAGATAACCGATAATTATGTATAGGTAGTAATTTCTAATGAGAAAATTATCGTGTAATTTGTTTGTTCCATTGCACAAATCTCCGGTGCATGAACAATAATCCACTTGTATGTCGTGAGTTCCGCTTCTTTTTGCACATTCTTGATCGTCTCGTAACGGATCTTCTATGTATCCGCAGCTTCTGACAACTCTCACGTGACCTTGAACTTGAATAAGAAAAAAATTATGAGATTAATATTACGTTTTATGTGTAATAATGATGTTGATGATGAGTTTTTTTTTTTTCTCATCATCGGAGTGATACGGACTTTTGCTGGAAACTGGTAGGGGGGGTTGAGAGAGGAAAGGACGGTTAAAACGCGGGGAGGGGAGGTAATGGTTAGTTGTTATGAGGTACATCAGCATTTTTTTTTTCGAAAAGGTATCGATTAAAATAACATTTTTTTGTTTGTAACAAGTTATGGTCTCCTCTCTCACTCTCCTTGTCTCTTTCTTGCTCTCTCTTTCTTTCTCTCTCTCTTACTCTCTTTCTCTCTCTTTTTTTTCTCCCTCTCTTCCTTTGATTTTTTCTTTTCATATCTTTCTCTCTTCCAAACTCTCTCTCTGTTTGCCTCTTTTTTTTGTACTTTTCTTTCTCTTTTTATATTTTCTTTTTCCCTGCCACGCTTTCGCCCTTTCTTTTTCTCTCTCTTTCTCTCTTTTTTTGTTCTCTTTTACTCTCTTTCTGTATCGTTTTCTTTTTTCTTTTTTTTTCTCTTTCCTTCATTTTTTTGTCTTTTAATATCTTTCTTTCTCTCTCTCTCTCTGCCTCTTTTTTCTATACTTTATCGCCTGTCCTTATCTTACTCTTTTTCTTTTTCCCTCCCACTCTTTCACTTTTCCACCCTCTCGGTTTTGCACTATCTTTATTCTTCCTCTCTCTCATTGTCATTATTTTCTCTCTATTTTTGTACCTTTCTCTTTATTATTTTTTCCCTCTTTCCCTTCTTTCTTTTTTTCTCTTATTTATATCTTTTAGCCTGTCTTTCGCTTTCTGCCTTTTTTTCCTCGATCTCTCTCTCTCTCTCTACCTGCCATCCTTTCATTTTCCCACCCTCCCTTTCGCCCTTTCTTTCTTCCTCTCTCTCAACTTTTTTTTTTCTCTCTCTCTCTCTCTCTCTCATTATCATTCTTTCCTCTCTGTTTGTGTCCTTCTCTTTATTATTTTTTCCTCTTATCCATATCGTTCAGTCCGTCCTTCTCTTTCTGTCTTTTTTTTTCTCCGTCTTTCTCTTTCTCTCTCTATACCTATCACTTTTTCACTTTCCCACCCTCTCTCTTGCCCTTTCTTTGACCCTCTCTCTCTCTCTCTCTTTCTCTTTCTCATTGTCATTCTTTTCCCTTTCTTTTTGTGCATTTTTCTTTATTCATTCTCGCTCTTTCCCGTCTGTTTTCTTTCAGTCTGTCCTTCTCTTTCTGTCTTTTTTTTCATTGTCTCCCTCTTCCATTCTCTCCTCTTTGTCTCTCTTTCATTTTCTCTCCCCCATCCTCACATATCAAATAAACAAAAATTCTTATTCCTTATAATAATAAAAATAAAGTAAAGTAAATAAATATTTTTTTCCTCTCCCTACCCTTCCCTTCCCTCTTTTTGCTTACTTACTTTTTTGAACGATTTTCCGACAGAGTTTTGCTTCTTGTCCAGCAATATGATCCGGTTTTATCGATAGTGAACAATTTAAAACTCCAATAGTGTAGGGTTTAAATGGATCCCCACAACTTGGATCGAATTCAGAATTGCAAACATAACACGATATCGAATTCCCTGCAACAAAAAACAGAAAAATCCAATCAATCAATCAATCAATCTTTTTTTATTATTATTATTATTATCGATAACGTTTATTTTTTTTGTGTCTTTTTTCAATAATATCCCGTTACTTAAAATAATCGTGACACCCCCGACGATGATAATAATAATAACATTAACCTCATTCACGATAAAAAAAAAAAAAAAATTAATTACTTATTAAATATATTATTATTATTATTATCTCCTGACACGAACCCTTTAAACGTTTTTTCCCATCATCATTATTAACTTATGGGATTTGTCGTGATGATAATAATAACGATAATAATAATAATTAAAAATTTTCCATGTTGATTAATTAATAAGAAATTAAAAGAAAAATTTTCGTTTTCATTTTGTGGAAAATTTTTATAATGTTTATTTGTTTTTTTTATCCAAACAAAAACATAATAATGTTTAAAACATGCATGGAACATGAAAGAAAAAAATGGAAAAAAAACATAATATAAAAAAAATCGATAAAACAGTAAAAGGAAAAAAAAAGAAAAAAAAACACATTAAATGATTAATATGAGAATTTAACCGATCACGAATATCATTTTTTTTTTTTCATTTTCATTTTTATTTTCATGGAGAAAAAAAAATTACGATGATAATAATAATAATAATAAAAATCGATTTTTAATAGACTTTTCGTTTCAAGTCGTTTGTTTGTTTGTTTGTTTGTTTGTACGTAAAGCGGGGAAAAAAAAGGCAAACTATCCACTCACCTTTTGTTGACAAAAATGACAAAATAATAAAACCGACAGCGAAAAAACTTGCGTATGAAAAAAACATCATTTTTTATTATGAAATCTCTTCCTTCCTTTCTTCCTTTTTTTAATTTGATTCGTTTGTTTCTTTTCGTTTGTTTGTTTGTTTGTTTGTTTTCTTTCTGATTCTTTAAATATATATGTAAGAGTCGAAGAAAAATTTTTTTTCCCCTTTTTTTTTTTTCAAATCGATAAAATATTTAATTAAATCATTCGATGTACGTCGTCGTCATCATTATCATCATCTTCTGTGTCGTCATATTTGACGTCATCATTTTCATCATCATCTCTATCGTCGTCATTAATAATAATAATAATAATTGTTTTTCGTCGTTTAAAAGAAAATTTTTTATTCTCCCTTTTTTTTTTAGTATCGATCGATGAAATGCACACGATGAAAGTTTTTTTTCAACTGAAACATAAAAAAAAAATCATTATTATTATATTATTATTATTATTATTAGGGTATAATAATAATAATAATAAATATGACATTTTAACCGCAGAAAAGTCATTTAATGTCGTCTGCTAAAAATAAACCATCAAATCGTTTGTTTACCCAATGGCGCGTTAATTAAAAATACAATAAAAAAAAAAAGGAAGAAAAAAAAATGAAAACGGATCCGGGAAGGGGACGGGAGGGGGGAGGGTTGAGTCGAAGGGTTTATTCTTTTACTAAAAAAAGTGGGGGGTCACATACGGTGGGGGAAGGCGGAGGGGGGTTGGGAAAAAAAAACTTCGATGACATTTAAAACAAAAAAAAAAAAAAATTTTTTTTTTTTGTTTTTTATTTTTCCAGGGCCCCCCCCTTATTTTATGTGTAATATTTTTCAACGGGGGAAAGAGTGGGGGAAGGTTTGTTTTTTTCGTGGGATCCTTAAAAAATTTCTTAAATAAAATCACACACACACACACGAGGTCAAGGTCGGAGAGGAAAAAGGAAAAAAAAATTTATTTTATTTTATTCTAAAAATAAATTGATTACGGTCGGGGGTGAGCGGAGAAGGGAGGGGGAATCGAGGTTGGGGAGGTTATAGATTTCGAGGGGAAGGGGAGGGGAGGCGGGAGAGGAGAGGGAAGGGTGAAAGGGAAACGACGAAAAATTGGTTTTGTGTACGTATTAAAAAAAAAAAAATATTGAAAATCTATACGTGTATTATTATTTTCTTTTTTTTTTTTTCTTTCTTTCTTAATTTTCTTTTCCCTCTTTTCTTACCTCACCTTTTTTTTTTTCATTCCTTTGTGAAAAAGGAAGAAGAAGAAGAAAAAAAAGAAAAGATTAAAAAGCAGAAGACGTTAGAGTGGGAAAAAAAAATTTTTGGGGGTAAAGAAAAAAAAAATAAAATTTTTTCATCGTCGATTTAAAAAAAAAATTTTTTTTTTCCAGGTATTATCACAAACGTTTCCCCCTCTCTCCCCCCACAAAAAAAATAGGAAATAAGAATTTCGTTCTTTTTGGAATTTTCCAGGAAAAAAAAACGGGGTAAATAAATTTATGGGAAAAGGAAAAATTTTTTTTTTAATCGACATCGACTTACCGAATTTTTTTCCTACTCGTTTAATTTTTAATTAAAAATAATAATAATAATGGTCACAACAATCAAAATAACAATAATGACAACAACAACAACAAACAACAACAAACAAACGAAAGAAAGAAAGAAAGAAAATTTTTTTTACATTTTTTTTTTTTATTGAAAAAAAAAAAAAAAAAAATTTTCCGGTTCCTCACCGAGACTGACACCACGATCGCGTACGACGAGTGTGAGAATATTTTAAAAAAAAAGAAAAAAGAAAATTTTTTTAAATTTCTAATTACACGAAGTTTAATTTATTCGTTTGTTTTCTAATTATTATTAATTATTAATTAATATATTTATTTATGTATTTAAAATATTTTCTAATAATAATAATAATAATAATAATAATAGAAGTTGTGACCTTTTCCGAGTAACTCGCAAATGTGTGCGTTGAGTTCCTACTTTTAGACCTCAGCTTCAATTCAATTCAATTTAAAAAAAACTAGTCGGGAAATTATCCGGAAAATTTTTCCCTCCCTCCCTCTCCTCTTTCCCGATGACGAAACCGTAAATTATCATTATTATTATAAAATTTTCAAAAGGTAAAATAAATATTTTCTTTAAATTCTTCACGATAACCTTCAATTTTTTTTTTTATTTACTTACTTCCGGTCGAAATTTTAAAATTTTTACGACTGTTAACGATGATGATAATAATAATAACGATTATAAAGAGATGGGTGGGAGGGGAGGAGGGAAGGGGAGAGGAGAAAAGAAAAGAGAAAAAAAGAAGAAAATTGATAATTGAAAACAACTTACCCGTATAGCATCACATTTACTATTGAATTGCAACGATTCGATTTTATATTTATTATTAATACGTGAAAATTCCACGAGGCAGCGCTGTTTCCACATCCTTTCCGACTAGCATTTACATGAAATCAATAACGTTTCGACAAGGAGAGGGGAAATGAGTTGTTGGAGGGGAAGGGGTGGCGGCGGGAAAGGGCCGTAGGAAAGGAAAGAATCATAGGCGGGGGGATCGTTGAGAAATCCGGGGGGGGAGGGGAGAAACACAAAATATACCAGAACGATGTTAGAAATTTTCTTTTTGTCGTTTTGTGACTTGCGTGAAAGATTTTCCTATTTTCCTATTTTCCGATTTTTTTTTAAATCTTCCGCCATTATTATTATTATTATTATTATTATTATTATTATTATTATTATTATTTATTTATTTATTTAAATTAAATAAATTTTAATTAATAAATAAAAAAAAAAATTTTTTTTATAGAATTTTCTAAATAAATAATAAAAATAGGTTAAACATTAAAAATCTAATTATTTCATTACTTTTAAAGATGGCGGCGGCGAGGATGGTGGTGGTGGATACCTTAAAAGTTTTTTTCCTTTCTTCCTCCCTCACTTAATCCAATTCAACTCTTCCTCTCCTCTCCCCTCCCTTTCCCAAACCCTCAAACACCCCTCAAGGGAAACAAAAAAAAAAAAATCGAATTTTCACGGACTTTTCATACACGGGGAGGAGGAAAAAAACAACAAAAATTATTAATAATAATAATTATAATAATAATAATAATAATCACATGAAAAAAAATTTATTCCATACAAAAACAAAACAAAAAAAAAAAAGCAGACGACGCTAATTTTTCATCAATTATTATAAAAAAAATATATTTATATATATATAAAAACATTTCCTTTAATAATTATTATTATTTAACTTACTAATATTATTATTATTATTATTATTGTAATTGAAAGACAGTAGTTCTGTGTAAATATATATATATATAAAATTTTCTTTTTTTTAAGGGGGGCGGGTCACGTGATGTTCTTCGAAACCGAACCCTACCGACCCTTTGATTACACAAAAATTATCAAATATATATATAAAAAAAAAATTATTTTTACTTAATAACTTATTAACTAATTTTATGTGCGTTTATTTATTTATCTATTTATATATATATAATAATAATGATAATGATAATAATAATATTTATATGATTATAATTAATACCGTTTAAAGTTTTCTCAACACGAAACGTTATAAAATTTTCCCAAAAAAATTTTCCTTTTACGTTCGGAGTAACGTACGTGTTTATGAGTGACAGAGATCAAAAAAATTTATTATAAAAAATCCAAAAATTGACGCAAAAAGAAAAAAATAAATAATAATAATAATAATAATAATAATAATAATAATAATAATAATAATAATAATAATAATAATGATTATGATGTTGATTAGAATAATAATAATAATAACGCTTACAAACTAAAATAAAATAATTTTTTCTTGTTTTTATTTTATTTTCTCTCTTTTTCTCTCCCTCTCTCTCTCTCTCTCTCTTTTTCTCTCATTTCAATAATAATCGATAAAAATTTAATAAAAAACTGGTAAAAACAATCTCTCTCTCTCTCTCTCTTTCTCTTTCTCTATCTATCTATCTTTCTCTCCCGGCGAAGAATAAAAAGAAACAGAAGGTAGGTGAAAAAAACCTGAATATTGCGGTAAACCTTAAAAAAAAAAAAAAATTCTCACTTACCCGAATCCAGCAGAAAAAAAAGAGACAAAGGGAGAGAGAGAGAGAGAGAGAGGCAAACCGGAGACAAAGAGAGACAAGAGAGAGATAAAGATAGAGAGAGAGAGAATATAAAAAATTTGAGCGCGAGGAATTTTTTAATAACCCCCAAAAAAAAACGTTAAAAAAAAAAAAATTTGAAACTCAAAACAACATAAAAAAAAAAAAACACAATCAATAATAATAATAATATTAATAATAATAATAATAATAATAATAATAATAATAATAATAATAATAATAATGATAATAATAATAATAATATGCACGATTTTTTTTTTCTAAATTTAATTTAGTACTTTAATCGATAAGAGATCAATTATATTGATTATGTAAATAATTACTCATATATATATATATAAATTAACTATTATCATTTCTCATTAAAAAAAAAAAAAAAAAATCGGTTAAACAAACAATGAGCGAAATTTACGAGTTTGTCGATACAACAACAACAACAACAACAAACAAAAAATAAATAATCACGTGATTAAAAAAATTTACTCGTGTTATGAAAACAACCTTCTGGAAAAATTCGTATAAAAAAAAAAAAAAAAAAAAAAATTTCTACGAACGTCCTTTCCGTACTACTTCTTGTTAGGAAAGAAAAACCGTTTTTTTTTTTAATTATCGTTTATCGATTTATCGATATATCGAATCATATCGATGTAATATCACATCGATTTTTACTTCCGATATGTTTTTTAACCCGAACGTGTTTGTTGTCGTTTTCATTCATCGTTAAAAACATAGATATATCCTCTCCTCGCGCGTCATTCACTCTTACGACAAACTCGCAAATTTCCCAACGAAACAAACAAACAAACAAACAATAATGATGATAATGATGATGATGATAAAATGATCCTCGAGAAGCGTAAAAAAAAAAAAGCAAAAAAAAAAAAACAAAAATGTTATTAATTACCTTGTTAATTCGTCGTTTGTTCGATCGTTTGTTTGTTTGCTTGCTTGTTTGCTTGTTTGTTTTGCTCCGTTTTGTTGCTCCGATTAAAAACTTTTTTTTTTTTAAATTAGAGAAAATAATTAATTTTTTTCTTTCTTTTTCATTTTCTTTTCTTTTAAACTTGGATTTTTGGTCTGAATATGAGATCTCTGATGAGAGTCGACTGAAACGTCGAAACTTGTTTTTTGTCGTGGAGCCAGGGCTCGTCTTCGCTGTAACTTGAAAATTGTACGGCGACTCTCCGATTGACTCTCGTTAACAAAGTCAAAAAATTCGTCGTCGTACCGTTTTTACGTAATTCCTCTACGAGACTCTGAACGAACCACGTTCCATCCTCCACGTTTCTCCACGAATAATATCCTGAAATTTACGAAAGAGAGAGGAGGGGGAATATAAAAAACCGACAGAAAAGACAAGAAAAACAGAAAAACAAAAAGGTCGATTTTACCATCCGGACACGAATAAGCGATTAAAAAATCAGAATGAGACGGAAGTCTGTAGGCTGCACTACCAGCATCCGTTTCGCTCACGGAACCTTTACGAGAGACCAAAGTGACTCCCGAATCGACTTTCGATCCTCTGCAAGCCTGCGAAAAAAAAAAAAAATTGTTTTTAAACAAAATCTACAAACGAACAAACGGACAGAACGACAGACAGACAATACACGTACCTGAACGAAAAATATTTTAGGCTTTCCAGCAAGTGTTAAACACCTGTCGGCCGTGAATGGATGCCACAAATTGTCAATGGAATATATCGTGTCTCTCGCGTACAGGTAACCATTATCGAAACCGTGAGTCAGTACGGCTATCATCAAACAATCCGCGTCGCTGTGATCTTCTTTGCTCACTGAAATGAACAGAAAAAAATCTGTTTGTACACCACCAACAGGAAAATCAACGTAAATGGCAGAAAAAAACGACAGGAAGAGGATACTACCTTCGTTGATGGCCTCGCTGATCTGATAGTATGGCATGTTGCTGAAAACGGTCACTTCGAAACCCAAATTCGTAAATTCGTTCGTTAGATTTTCCACGTCGACGTGAGAACCTTTTCGCGGGCTCACCAAATTGTTGTCGAATATATCGTTGTTGATTATGATGGCTCGACCCCTTCGGGAGTGATACATGTTGTATTCGTCCGCATCACGATCGACCGGCATGACAGCTTCCACTCCAGAACTGGATCTGATGATGATGATGATGATGGACAATTAGGATTTTTTTGTTGGAAAGTACAACCTACTAGGCAATATCTTACCTGTCGTAAATGTTCGTGAAAGGTTTCGAATCTGTGACGTCATTTAAAGCCCTACCACCGCCGGATGATGGCGTGTACATCTGAGGAGGATAACTGAAAGATGCGGCCGGTGAAGAAGTGTAACTACCGCTGTATCCGAGATCTGATGAAACCCTAAAAATTCAACAACAAAATTACAATTTAAAACTTTCCGCCATTTTGAAAAAATTTTCCTCCATTTTCCGACTCACCTGTTTCTTGGAGAGGCGATGGCGATTCCTCCGCTTTCGAGTGACCGTCTCAAATTCACGCAATCGTCACCGATGGAATCGATGACGTCGGAAGCGCGACGAGATCTACCAGTTTTCCGCGCTTCCTTTTTAATCTCTCCGATGGACTTGTCGGATTCTTCCCTTAATAATAATAATAATAATAAAATTAATCGATCGTGGTTTCAGAACAACCCTTATCTCCATGTCTCCATGCTTACCCCTGGCCGTAGCTTTCGCTTTTCCCTCCATCTTCGTTGGACGACGACAAACGTCTCTCGGATCTCTCGTAATGAAAATCCTTTTTCGTCACGCTCACCTGGCTCCCTCCGCACGAGAATTCCTTTTCCTTTTCTATGAAAACGTCATCGTCCAAATTGGTTCCTCCGTACCTGAGATCATCGTTGAATATGAAAGGACCGTTGTCGACCAACTCGATCGAATTTATGTAAAACGCTTTCGATATGTTACGTATGATGCTCTCGCTGAGTTCTTCTCTCTCGTTTCCGTTGTCTATGCTGCTGCTCTTGTTCACATTTTTATCAACCTTTTCCAGTCGCTTCATTTCCGTATTTCTTTTTCTTTTTCATAAACGAAACTGTAATCAAACACGCACAAATAATAATAATAACAATAATAATAATAATAATGGATCCGTATTAAATATCAAATCGTAACTCATTGTTACCTCGGGTTTCACGAAATCCCGACCCGACCCGACCGACCAAACTCTCGTTAAAGAAATACGCACACACGCATGCACACACCCTTCTTCCCCCTCACCCCCCGAGCACCTTCGCCAGTGATTTACGACAACAATAAAATTAATACAGATATTTTCGTACCGAGGCAATCAAAAAGAACAACAACAACAACAACAGGTGGATAATAATAATATAATGGAGCAATTGTATTACGTTTCTCTTCTTTCCTTCCGGTCCTCCCATCCCTTCCCCGTGTCTCCTCCCTAACTCTCTCTCTCTCTCTCTCTATTTTTTTTTATAAACAACAAATAAGCTCGGATAACAATACTCCAAACGGTTGAGTAGTTGGACTTGGATGACATTTGTTATCTTATCAGTTCGACCTCGATGAGATGGTGGCGAGGGACAACTTTTTTATGATTTGTTTAGGTTCTAACGGAAAATCAAAATAATAAACCCCGACCGACGACTTTTTTTTTTTTTTTTTTTCTAATTTCATTTTTTTATGTTGTTGTTGTTGTTGTTGGCGTACGAGATGAGAGAGAGAGAAAGAGAGAAAAAAACCATGAAATGAAATCTCTGAAGTTTTTGTCGTCTTCGGTTACCCTACCTTCCTACCTGTCGGTAGATATGTTGCCACCGTTTGAAAATTCCAACATTTCACACACGCACATAAAAAAAAAAAAAAAAAAGAAAAACATTCGAACCTCTGTGTCACGTGATCACGCGATCAAAATGTGAGAAAATTCAACGGAATTTTTTTTTTTTTTTTTTTATTCAATTTTTACCTCAACATGTTTCGACAGGTTTAACTGCAACAAACAAACAAACGTCGCCCGGGTAGTTTTCATAACAAAATTCCAAATGAGTATAAAATCGAAAAAATCGATTTCGTTCGATTGATCGATCGAACATTCGATAATATCGATCGAACGAAAAAAAAAAAAAAAAAAAAAACAAAAACAAAAACAAACCTTACGGATTTTTTTTTTTTTTTTTTCAAATATGTCTTACACCGCACGTGTTTTATTATTATTATTATTTACGTTTCAGTCCGCAACGCAACGAAAACAAAAAAAATGATAATAATAATAATAATAATAATAATAATAATAAATATAAAACAATTCACTCACTCTTATATTCATCACGTTACAAACATTCGATGAATCATATTCGCAAACGACAAAATTTTACCTGCTTTCTAAACATCTAACAAATACCCTTCCCCCTCCCTCACTCACTCTCTCTCTCTCTCTTTCTCACCTTTTTCACGGTGGAGGATAATCGTGGTTTTGTTAACTCAGATGATGATGATGATGATGATATTTACTACGCCATCATTACAACGGAACCTGACCACAATTCGCGCGAAAAATCGGCGGACGTGACGTGTGTGACGCAACCTAAGAGATTAATAACGACGGACGATGACACCTCGTGAAAATAATGAAATTTTCTCAACTGTCAACGATATCATCCCTACCCCCCCCACTCCCCGTGCGAGAAAACAAAAAGGGGGAGGAAGGAGGGGGAGAGAGAGAAAAAGGAATACACGATGATGCAAGGCTAACGAATGCATTTTCATTTAATTTTTTATTTCCATGACCTTGAAATCCATCAGATTGATTGATGGGAAACCATAACATCAGCTCTTTTTAATCTTTCACGATATCCAAGTTTTCAGCCGCACTATATTCGCACTTCCCGCCTAGTTTTATCACGATCCCTTTTTCGAATTAAAAAAAAAAAAAACCGTGGCAATAGAAAAATTATAATAATGACCAGACGCGATGCGAAGCGGCATTAAATTAATTAATTAATTAAAATAATGACTTGAAGCATCGTAAGTGGTGTGTAAGCCGCGACTAATTAAAAACGCCAAAAATTTAATCGAAGGGAAGAAAGCAAAAGAGAGAGAGAGAGAGAGAGAGAGAAGAGAAAACTCCAAAAAAAAAAAAAATTTGTCAAAAAAGGGGGGAACGACGACAGAAAGAAGAACTCAATCAAAAGTTCATTGAACTCAATTATTAGATAAAATAATAATAATAATAATAACAAAAATAAAATAAAATTTTTCGTAGAGGAGGTAAAAAAAAAAAAAAAACCTTCTCGCCGCCGCCGCCATTTTATTATTATTATTATTATTATTATTATTATTATTATTATTATTATTTTAAACTTTAACAACCGGAAATCGGTCATCGTAATATGAATTTAAAAAGTCACCGCCATCCCTGTCACTTTTTTTTTTTTTTTCGCCGCGTCCGATTATGGCGTGTCGCATCTTTTTCTACGATTATATTAATCGTCCGTTCGTAACCAACGAACCGAAACCGTCGCACGCGCACGCAAACACACACACACACATTCATCAACGACCGTCAGTACCTGAAAAGCGATGAGCAGAACCGTGAGACAAAGACAGACGACGATGAACACGAAACGTGGCAA